ATATTAGATAAACTAGTTAAAAAAACGTTAAAAAAGAAAAGGGTAAAAGTTAAAAAAATTTAGCAGAAGAAAAAAAATTGAAAAAGAAAAAAAATTAAATTAACTGCAAGGCTAAAGAATCATGGGGAGAAAGCCATGAGTTCCGTGCTTTGCTTTCTCCTCCTCTGGAATTCCGCTGCTCTCCTTGGTATTGAAACTGCACTCCTTGGTAGGTAAACTTGGTCCTGGCTGGGTTTCTTGTTGCTCTTTTTTTTTTTTTTTTTTTTTTTAAGGTATGAGGCTAAGGCCAGGTAAGTTTTTATTATATTTAGAAAAAAAAAAAGTAACTGACAATAAAAGTGAAGTCACTCAAAACGAATGAGTTTTTCAAGACCCTGTAGTTCTTCAATGGCAGCATGTGGACCCACCGCCCAAGCCGGTCTTAACCCAACCGAGGTGCTGGAAGGCAGAGCACACGGTTGTGCCCATGAGGCCAATGAGGGCTATGGAGCCCAGGGCCCCACGACTCCGCTTGCTGGGCTCTCCTGTGTAATAACCATAAGCATAAAGAACTCGTCCAACAATCCAGGCCACGCCCAGGCCAGAAGCTATACGTGGGTGGTAAACACCTCCAACAGCTAGGAAAAATAAGAATGGAGGATACACTTCCAACGTGTTCTGGTGGGCACGCTGAATGCAGTTGAAAAGGTGCCCGTTCTCAGGGTCCGTGCTGTACATGGTAGGATACTCCACTTTGTACTTCTTTCGGGCCTTGGAAACGTTGATGGCTAGATGAGCCATCATCTACCATTATGAAGATGGCGGCACCGGTGAGAACCACAAAACCATATTCCTTAGAGAGGACAGCCATGCTGGCTCTGGATCACCTCCGCTCGGCTGGTGCAGTCTTGTTGCTCTTCTGGGGGAGGGGCCTGTTGTAGTGATTCTCAAGTGTCTTTGCCCCAGGCGGAGTTGCACCGCCCTTACCCGGGCCGGTCTGAGTAATCCGCTCGGGTTTGCTTTCGGGAGCTTTTGTTCCCTGAGCGCTTTCCGTAGAGTTCCAGAGGGCAGGAATGAAGATGGCGGCCTCCCAGTCTCCGGCCCGGAGGAGACGAGAGCCCAGGGCCCCACTCCTCAGTCGCCCTCAGAGAACAGCGCCCAATTACTCCCGTCACCCTGGCCTCCGGCCGTGCTCCGAGCTGACCGAGCCTGCAACCGGTTCAAGGTAACCCCAAGGTTAGAGCTTACTCCTCAGCTCTGTCTCTGTAGCCGGCTTCCCCGTTCTAATACCTGTAAGCTCTGCGACACTCAGACACCCCCAATCCTTCTATGACCCTGCGGGACCTGAGGCCACACTGACACCGCGTGGGCTTCACCCCAGTTAAGCCTCTGGAGCAATGTCCCTCAGTGGAACAGACTTTTAAAAGTTCTGATTTTGTGCTCCGTTGCTCCGCCGCTTGCCGGGAGCCGGCCCCTCCCCCCGCGGTCTATCTTCCCGTCGCTTTGGATTCACTTCTCCACCAGTCCTACCTTTCAGAAAGTGGTTGATTTTCTGTTTCTAGAATTGCTGTTCTTCTTCTCTTCGATCTCCCGTTGGATTTGTAAGTGTTTGCAATCTTTAGATAAGCTATCTAGCTGATCTCCTGCTACCTGAAGTAGTCTCAGCCTGCTACTTCTCCGCCATCTTGACTCCTCCCCGACATTGAAGAATTCTGAATTATGAAGGTAAGTTGAAAGACATTTTGTTAATTCTGTAAGATCCCTTGTTGGAATTACATTATATTGATTCATCTATGTGGAAAAAGAAAATCTTGAAACCAAAAAAATTAAATGTAAGGGATGGCTTGAACTTGAGACCATTTTAAAAAACACTTCCCTACATATTGTTTTCACACTATTACTTTTGAGTTCCCATCATGAGATTCTTGATATGTTAGTTCCTTGTATTCAACAATTTTCCATTTGAAATATCACTCTGTAGCTAATATGTACAACATTCCCAGTCATTTTATATGCTTATCTTCTTCAATATTCTCGGCAATCCAATCATAGACTTTTGTACTATCTTTATGAACAAGGAAATACGTAACTGACGCCCAAACACACAACTTCAAAGTCTATTTAACTCTAAGTTAAACAAATATATTAAAAGATATGGGAAAAGAAAAAAAAAATCTGGGCATTCTTCTATTTCATATTTGACCTGGAAGAATGAAAATCAAAGGATAAATAAGTCAAAAGAAAGTGGTTTGAGACTTTCCCTAGGAATATCTACTTAATGTGTAATAAATAGTCCTTAAAGGCAAAGAGACCAATGATCATCATTTAATACAAGTAGCAGGGGAATATTTTAAGGTTAACCTAACAAGAGTTTAATGTTCAACTTGAAATGACTCTCAATAGATTTTAGATTCATACTCAGTGTCTTGATAATGGAAAAAATAGTACATGCAAAAACCAAAGAAAATTTTCTTGAGAGTTGAAAGGCAAAGTTGCTATAATTAGACCCAGAATTGAGGAAGGGACATAACATGATGGAAAGACTAGGGTCAAACATCAATTCATGGGGTCAGAACTAAGACTGGTCAAACAAAATAGATGTACATTATATACAAACATGAAGAGAATTATACTTAGGGTTTAGTTAATAGTAACATAAAATATAGGTAAACAAAAATGGAATGAAACTAGCATAATATCAATGTATCAAAAGTATGCATTGAAAAATTCAAAGTTGGGAAGACTTTGGCTTCCAGTTCCAAATATAAAGATTCAAAAATTCATTTGTATCCTTCACTTTTATCCTGAGAAACTATAGGATATTTTACAATATATTTCAGTTTCTTTGCCAAAAATATATCAGTTATCACTTGATCAAAATCTGTATCTCTTAGAATTTAGTTCAAATGTGAACTTCTTCCTCAGGAAACTTTCTCCGTATATTTCTCTTTGTCTTTATTTTTTTTTCTTTTAATTCTATCATCTTTAAATCTGTTGATACTAATCTCATTTATCAGCAACAGAATTAGGGAGATTTATGGTTTCTAATTCCACTTTTAAGGAGCTTGGAAGTCACCATTCTATCCTAAAGACAAATAAAAAGCTGAACAGAATAAAAAATAAAATAAAATAACAGTTCTTCTTGGATATGTAAGAGGGGGCAGAACACAAGACAAACCATTGTCATCAAGATTGAAAAGAAAGACAGGAAAATACAGGGAGTCATAGCTTAATGGAGCAGAGATTCATAAGAGGAAACACAATAGGAGCCAGTGGCTGGATAGGAAAATCTGAACTGTAAATAACAAAGTGCTAGAAAATCAGTATGGACAACTCTGAGAGTTAAAAACTCTACAGTGTTCCAATCATAGGGGAGCACCCAAAATATTGTGAGATTACACCTGCGGTGTATGGTAGTTCTTAATGCAATTTGTTCTGTAGTTATTCTTTGACCAAACATAGATATTATTAATATAAATTTATATTTGTCTCATTCTGTGTGTATGTGTAGTGTGTTTGTAAGTATGTGTGGTTTATAATCTGACAAGGTCATGAAGCTCAGTTTGGCTGTAATTTAATTCCCTTCCCCTTATTTTTATTTATTTGTGTGCTGTGCTGATTAAATAAAAGCCACTGACCATCCAAAAAACAAAACAAAACTATAGGATCTCAGCCAGGTTCCTACAGTAAATATTGAAGACAAATCTCTTAATACTTCCAGCAGGAGGAGAGGAAAGGAAGCCATGCTGTAATACACTAGAGAACTCTATTTTCACCAGACTTGCACTCAGAGGAAACTAGCTGACCACAGCCTATGATGCTGGGGTAATATCAGGAACTAACTGACCTGGAGGAAAAAAAATAACCAATTCCAACTCACTTTAGTTATCCTGTCCCATTTAAGTAGGGACAAAACACTTAGAAATACTAGCAAAGTTTCTAATCATCAGACTATGGAACACTTTTCATCCCTCTATACCTCACCGCCACATTACTAAAAACCTATTTATAGCAGTTCCTTTTACTAGGCACATTATGTCCAGCCATCAGGAAAAAAATTAGGAGATATCCAAAAGGCAAAAAACAACAACAACAACAGCAAAAAACCAAACAAACACAAAAAACACTGAAGAGACAGAGCAGAGATATGGCAGAGATGTTAGAATTTTCAGACCAGGACTTTAAAATAACTATTGTTTTAAGGGCTCTACTGGATAAAGTAGACAGCATACAAGAACAGATGTGTAGTGTAAGCAGAGAGTTGGAAGTTCTAAGAAAGAGCGGAAAAGAAGGGCAAGAGATCAGAAACACTGCAACAGAAATGAAGACTGAATATGGCTGAGGAAAGACTCTCTAAGCTTGAGGACATGACAATAGTAACTGCCAAAACTGAAAAGCAAAAACAAAACCAAAAACAAACAAACAAACAAAAAAGACTGAAAAACAAAAACAAAAACAAAAAAACCCAGAAGAGAATATCCAAGAATCCAAGAGTTATGGAAAAATGGTATAAAAGGTATAACATATATGTGATAGGAATACCAGGAGAAGAAAGAGAGAAAGGGACAGAAGACGTATTTTAAATGATAAGAACTAAGAATTTGCCCCAAATTTATGTTAGACATAAAACCATAGACACAGGAAGCTCAGAAAACACTAAACAAGTCAAATACCAAACAAAACAAAACAAAATGAAACAAAACAAACAAGCAAACAAACAAAAGAACAACAACAACAAAAAAAACCCTGCATCTAATCTTATCATTTTTAAATTATAGAAATTCAAAGAATTAAAAAACCCTAAAGGACACCAAAGGTGTCCTTATATAGAGAGAAGCACAGATTAGAATCACATCTGACTTCTCCTCAGAAACAGTGCAAGAAGAAACTGAAGTGAAATATTTAAAGTGTAGAGGAAAACAAACAAACGAACAAAACTAGAATTCTGTAACCTGAGAAATGATCTTTGAAAAGTGAGGGAAAAATAAAGACTTTCTCAGACCAATAAAAATTGAATTTATTTCCAGTAGATCTGCTTTACCAGAAGTGTTAAAAGAAGTTCTTTAGAGAGAGAAATATAATATAGGTTGGAAACTTGGATTTACATAAAATAAGGGAGAGCATAAAAGTGAATAAGTGAAGATAATGTAAAAACTTTTAGGAGCACCTGTGTATTACACTCAGTTAAGAATCTGACTCTTGGTTTCAGCTCAGGTCATGTTCTCCAGGTTCTGGGATAGAGCCTCAAGTGGGGCTCAGTGTTCAGTGCAGAGTCTGCTTTAGATTCTCTCTCCCTCTCCCTCTGCCCCTCCCATTCATGCTCTTTCTCTCTAAAATAAGTAAGTAAATCTTAAAAAAAAAACAAACAAACACAAAACTTTATTTTTCTTTTCTTTTTTTTTTTTTTAAAGATTTTACTTATTTATTTGACAGAGAGAGAAAGATCACAAGTAGGCAGAGCAGCAGGCAGAGAGAGGGGGGATAGCAGGCTCCCTGCTAGCCGAGAGCCCAATATGGGGCTTGATCCCAGGACCCTGAGATCATGATCTGAGCTGAAGGCAGAGGCTTAACCCACTGAGCCACCAAGCTGCCCCAAAACTTTATTTTTTTCTTATTCTTAATTGAGCAGAGAAGATTTTGTTCAAAATAAAAATACCAAGAATCTATTTGCTGCTTAAATATAAAGAGAGGCTTAAGTATATTTACATGTAAGTGAAATAAATGACAGCAATTTTACAAGGTATGGGTGGGAGGAATGAAGGCTATTTTGTTACTAAAAGATACAACACTCATGAAGTAATATAGAGGTTTTTTTTTTGAAATTTGACTTGGATTATCTAGCTACATGTGTATACTGCTAAGAAAGTAGAG